AGCCATGTTTTATGCAGACTATAATTTATAATAGTAGATATTCAGATAAAAATATAGTCTAAACAGAAGTATGTTTAAATACATATTTTTATCATATTATTTCCTTTTTCTGAGGGACAAAGAGCTGTTCTGTGACCATCAGCTGTGTACTGTTGTTGCCTTATACTAGACAGACCAAATGATGGGTGCTGTATACTCTGCACTTTGTCATTGAAAAAGGATGACTCACTTCAATTCCAACTATGAAAAACATTAATCTTTGCCATAGAATTTTACAGACTACCTCTAATAATTAAAACCATAAATGTAAGCTTGTTTCTGCTTCAACCAATAAGTATTTTTGCCTTTCAAACAGATCTAGGATTTTTTATATGCTTAATTAATAAAGATGCAGGCACAGCCACTACAAAGCTTTTAATCCTTGAAGGGTTTTTGCTTCAAAAGGAAACAAGAGCAGGTTTTCTTAAAGTGTAGGATTGAATTTAGTCCTTTAAAGATATTGACTAGAGCAATTCAGAGACTTAACAGTAAATGCAGCAGTGTCTAGATGGGGAAAGAAAATAGCCAAGAGGAAGTAAACCTCATTAAGAGTTCCTGGAAAATAGGTTCTGTTTATGGAATATTAGATGAACAGATACTCACAACACTGTACTATGAGACTGTGGTGGGTTGACCTTGGATGTCAGTCAGACAGCCACCCAGCTGCTCTCTCCTTTTCCTCAGCAGGACAAGGAAGAAAATCACATGAAAAAGCTCATGAGTCAAAGTAAAGACAGGGAGATCACTTACCAAGTACTGTCATGGGCAAAGCAGACTTGACGTAGTAAAAATTAGTTTAATTTCTTGTCAACCAGAAAAGATTCAGATAGTGAGAACCAAAGACCAAACCTTGCACCCCTACTTCTTCCCAGGCTCCACTTCACTCCTTCAGTTCTGACTCGTCTATCTCCCCACACTGAGTGGAGCAGTGGGATGGGGAATGGGGGCTGTGGTTAGTCTGTAATAGCTCCTCCCTGCCACTCCTTTGTCTTCACACTTTTCTTCTGCTCCAAAGTGGATCCTTTCTATGGGCTGCGGTCCTTCAGGATAAACCTGCTCCAGCATGGGTTTCCCAGGGGCTGCAGTTCCTTCAGGGCTTATCTACCTGCTCTGGCATGGACTCCTTCACAGGCTGCAGAGTGGATATCTGCTCCAGCACGATGTCCTCTCTACGGGCCTCAGGAAAATACCTCCTCTGTCACAGGGAGAACCTCCTACTCTGCCTCCCTCCCTGGTGTTGGTGTACATGCTGTTGCTTCTCACTTGGTTTTTTTTTTTTTTCCTTACTCCTCTCTGCTCCCTGGTATTTTTGCCCTTTCTGAAATACACTTTTCCCTGCGACATCACCGTCTTGGCTGAGGGGCTCAGCTATGTACTGTGGTGAGTCTGTTGAAGCTGGCTGGAACCAACTGGGACTGGCTGTGTCCAGAATGGGGCAGCCCCAGACTCCTCTCACCTCTGAAACCCTCTGCAATCAAACATTGCCGCCTGCAAATAATGCAGAAATATTAAACAGGCACTGGCATAAAACACAGAAGGAAGGCTTGAAAGTCAGTGAAACCCAAATTAAGAATGGGGTGTGCAGGTGAAACCATGTAATCAAACAAAATGACAGCTGCATGAGGAAAACACAAAGTCAGTGACTGCTTTTTCCAAGCTCAGGCATAGGCTCACAGCTGCCGCCTGGCAAGGTTCGTGCCTTGCATTGGGACTGCCCAGCTACTCTCTTCTCTTTGAAGGCACAGGGAATGTTTAGCACAGCTGAGGCCAGGTTGTTCAGTAAGCTGCCTGATCTGGCTGACAGAGGGTCTGTTTCAGAAAGCAAGAGGGGAGCCATATCCTGACTGGGCTTCTGTTCAGCTGCCTGGTGTTAGAGCAAACACGCAGGAGGAGGCAAGCACAGGTTCCTGTCCCTTCGCCCTCTGGGCAGTGTGAAGTAACGTTTCCACTGCATTACCTGGCTGGGAGGTATTCCAGGGCTGGACTTCATCATGCACTACTACTTTAGTTGGTCCACAGGTGAAATATTCATGAAGACAAAAAGAGATCTTGAGAAAGACCCTATAGCCTCATTAGGGCAGACAATGGGAGACGGAAATTCTGGTTTTTTTTCTCTGATTAATAGTTAATACAAAAATAGTACTTAAATATTCCCAGAGCATGGACTGAAGCCTAGTCTTACTTTCTTCCAGCTAAGAGCCCTAGCTGTGAGGTTGTGGAGGTGGGTGCTGGCTTCTCTGCCTGTGGTTTCTGAGAGGCTCAGTTCAGTGTGTTCTGTCTCAGCATGCCTGCGGACTGCAGACCTGGCCTTGCAGTGGCAAGGGGGGACAAAATTCACCCTGGGGGAGAGTAGGGAGGCATACTGCTCTCAACTGATGCTAGCCTTGCTGGGTACCTGCATACACAGAGTTTTTCTATGAGCCCTGTGAAGCTTAGCAGCTGGAAACAGTGGTGCATAGCACTTTGGGCCTCCAGAGTTCAATGTCAAGTCTTGCAAAGGCCTTGATGACCTTCATCTCTGAAGACTAAAGACCTGAAATGATAAACATGTGCTTAAATTTATTCCTGGATCTAGCCTTATCAGACTTACACAGGAGACATACTGAGCAAGAGCACTGAAATATAAGATGGACTGGTGACTGCTTTGCACAGGGACCCAGTCAGGATTGCTGGAAAGAGAGCTTACTTTGGCCAAAGACACGTTTATTTATGATACAAAATGATAGATAGATAGATAGATAGATAGATAGATAGATAGATAGATAGATAGATCATGTAGGTGTTCTATTTATAGCAGTCTTAGTGAAGGATTCTCATTAACAACATCTTTTTCTGCCTTAACACAGAATTCTGCATGTGCAATTCTTAAGATCAAAAGCACTTTTTTTCCCCTCACCTGTTACAAAGCAGATTTTACATGCTTTTGTATCCACATTCAGGAGATTTTACATGCTTTACATGTACTAATATCATTGGAATATAGCACAGACGAACAGAAAGGCTTATGTCCTGATAAAAATGTTATCTTTAAACAGAGAACTTTTAAGGCTTCATCTCCAATTAAAATGATCATAGAATCATAGAATAGTTTAGGTTGGAAGTGATCTCAAAGATCATCTAGCTCCAACCCCTGCCATGGGCAGGGACACCTTCCACTAGACCAGGTTGCTCAAAGCCCCGTCCAGCCTGGCCTTGGACACTGCCAGGGAGGGGGCAGCCACAGCTTCTCTGGGCAACATCTTCCTGTCCCTCACCAGCCTCACAGTAAATATTTTCTTTCTTGTACCTAATCTAAATCTACTCTATTTCCATTTAAAACCATTGCCTCTTGTAATGTAGGATAGGTCCCTACACTCCCTGATAAAGAGTCTCTCCTCATTTTTCCTGTGGACCCCCTTTATGCACTGGACCCTATGACACAGAGTCTTCTCAGAGCCTTCTCTTCTCTGGGCTGAACAAACCCAACTCTCTCAGCCTGTCCTCATAAGGTGGCTGCTCCAGCTCCCTGATCATCTTTGTGGCCTCCTCTGGACCCACTCAAGCATGTCCATGTCCATCTTATGGACACAGCACTTCAGGTGGGGTCTCATGAGAGCAGATGGGGAGAATAATTCCTTTAAACCTGCTGGCCACACTTGTCTGGATGCAGCCCAGTGCACGGTTGTCTTTCTGGGCTGCAAGCACACATTGCTGGCTCATATTCAGTTTTCTATCCCCTACTACTCCCAAGTCCTTATCTACAGGGCTGCTCTCAATCCACTCATCACCCAGCCTGAATTTGTGCTTGGGATTGCCTCGACCGTAATGATAACTTAAGAAATTAGGTTAAAATAAAGCTTTAAATTTGGAAAAAAAAAAAAAAAAAAGTCAATATTACTTTGACAATATACACCATTTGTTTGCCTCAAAGGTTTTTTGTTTCATTTGTAGAAGACAGAGCCCCTAGGTCTCAGTTTTGGATATAGACAGTATAATGAATAAACAGGGTGTAGGAGAAGGTACATCGGTATTCTTTGCTAACACAATTGAACATAAGCATGCAGTATTAACCTGTATCTGCATTCATTTATATAAACCAATTAATGTTTTTGTTATCTATGCCTGCATCTTGAAATATGCTGTGGACCACTTAACAGAGGCACAAATAAAGCAGAAACTGATTTGTTTTTAAGTAGTTTATTGTTGATCAGTGCAATGACCTTAGCTAGGCAGATAAACATTGTCCCAATAATATGTCTTTCAGCTGCTGCTACACACATTTCATCTTTTTTACCTGAAGTCGTAGACAACTAGAGCTACTAGCCCTGGATGCTATTAGAAACAGAAGATTTTGTTACAAGGGTCCTGAGATTAATGTGCGTTTATATATATGTATGTATGTATATGTATATATACCAACTTGTTTTGGTAGAACAGGTATATCACAATGGAAATCATTCAGATCTGCCTTTAATTCCTATCTGTGGAACTGGAAAAGTTGAGAGTATTTCCAAACTGATGGAATATGTCCAAAAAAGTGATAGCCAGTCAGTCATATTTTTAAATTCATGACTATAAACTTAAAAGCAAACAAATTTCCCTAAACTTTTACAAGGAGAAAAGAGGTATTATGTTATACAATGTGATCTTAAGTTCCCTGTATGTAATTGGATGCAATTAAAAATGAGATTATATTAAACAACAGATGTAAGACCTTGTTAACTGCAGAGGAAAAAGTTTCAATGGTCCACAGAGAAATGAAGGTGGAATTAGTAACTGATATATTAAAGGTATCTAGAGAAGTCATTCAAGATGTATAAAATTGATAGTGACCAGTCAGAACAGGCTTTTGGCAAAGTACAAAACAAGTGAAGCCACATGAGAGGTTGAAGTGAAAATTTCTTAGCAATATTTCATTAGGAAAAATCCAGAAGTCCTGTTCTTTTCAAACTATATCTACTAAATAAACATCAGTTACTTACAGCTCACTGGTGTTAAAGGGCACTTATGATTACCAAGAATGGAAGCTTGTCTTCACCTTTGCAGCTCTTCAGTTGTCCTGGCAAAAGGAAAGAGGTGATTTAGCCTATGAAATAAAAGAAGCTAATTTTCTGTTTCCTTCAGGCTATTCAAATACAACAAAATACATTAATTTCCTGGACAGCAGTCAAGTTTTTCACAGAATGCTCTCTGGGTATCTCAGTTTCCCTCAGGTAAGACAAAGTTTAACAATAGTTTGGTTGTAGCCAACAGTGGCAACAGAGCACAAGCTCGAGATGTCTGATGGGTTGCCAGCCAGTGCCGGACTGAATCAGAATATCTTCCTGACATACAAGAGCATAGTATTAGTTAGCATGATTTAGGTCCAAACTCAGCTTGTCAGCACTCCAGCACATTGCTGTGGTGATGCCTCACAGCTCTGTATTGCACTGGATGCCACAGTGCAGCATCTTTACACAATGTCACTGGGCCAGGGTCTCCACAGAATTTTACAAAACCCTATTGGTTGAGAAAACTAGCTGAAAAGAAGGCTTCTTGCTGCTCTTGCTGCATGTAAAGCACAGAAATTAATTTGGGACCAAAGACTAGAACCAAGAACTCCCCCTGCAGACAGGTGCCCTAATCACAGGTTTTGTCTCTTACACCAATCCATTTTACAATCTATTAATATATTTGCATGATGAACACAAACTCAAGAAAATGACTGGTGGGAAACTCTTCTTGAACAAGAGAACTACATGTGTCTGGAAAATGGGAAAGATAAAGATCAGCACCCACAATGCAGCCTTTTATGAGAGTAACCCTTTCTTGTCCATGCATTTAACAAATAATAGCTACTGGATATCAGCAACTGCCATCTCTCATTTGCAACCAAAGCACTGATGCATAGCAGTGAGGCAAATCCAAGTATGTGTGGCTTTTTTAGAGTATTTTATTCTTTTCAATCTCTTATTTTCACATAATTTTCCTGATTGCTACCAAATGTTCTTCCTACATAGATTTTTCTGATGGCAAACAAAGATCTATTTAACATCCTAGATAAGTCAGTATTACAGTGGAAGACTCTGAGCTTGACCTAACAAATTAAAATATTTTTCTGAGCAATTAACTGTTTTTTGGTTTTGGTTTTTTTTTCACAGTTTCTGATGAAGACATCCCTTCTCTTCCCTGAAGCTGAAATCTCCATCTCACCAAGTGTGACCACCTGATATGTCTTTTGTTCCTATTCTTGCTTTATATTATTAACCTAGCAAGCGTTAAGTTTTTTTTCAGGCATACCAAAAAGCATTGTAAATACTGAAAGCACAAAAGTGCTTCTCAAGAATGCCCTTCATGTCCCATATATAGACTTGTTTAAAGTTTTTGACAATTGTGAAGCAATCCATTCAGTGCGTAGCATAGTTAGATGCCTTTACAGACCTCAGCATGCTGCTGCCTGAACAGTTTACCCCCTGCTGCAGGATAATTTGAGCCCAGGCACTTTCACATTTATTTTTCAGGCAGTAGCTTTTCTTGAGGGTATGTGACCTTGGTATGTTGTTAACAACCTAAGATTTATTCAGCAGCTTCCTTTGATGAGGCAGACTGCTTCATTAAGTCAATTCCCATGCATTTGCAGCTCAAGCCATAGCTGTGAGACATGTTCCAATTTAACAGTTTGTCTCCCCAAATGGTCCTTCATGTTACACATCTGAGTACTTCTGCTTTCCTAGTGCAACATCTTGTCTTTGGTTCATATTCACTGCCTTTTGAAAATCTTTACTTTCTTAATGTAGAATGCACACACACACCATGTGTCAAACCAGACACCTGATGGGAGTCCTGAGAAGGCCAAGAGGTATCTTTTATCTTCTGTTATTTTTCTCACAACTGCCTGAGACACCATGTCTAATTGCAGATGTCCCAGATGTTCTTGATAAGAATTTCACTTCCTACTTCATAACATTTTTGGTCTTACTCTGCTTATAGTGTGTTTCATGTATTTTCAGTGTTTCATATGGAGTAGTGGCCCCACAGGTGCTTATGGTTCAAAGTGCAGCTGTTTGGTGGTACAAATACCTTGGTCTCTTCGTGTGACTTTGAACCAAATGGAAAAAAACTCAGAATTGAGCTCTAGAAAGAGAGTGCATGCACTGGATCTAGAAGGTCTAAGCAGTTGTGGGAAGAATGCAGTATCAAGACAACTATACAGTACTACAGAGAGAAGCCAGGGTGAAATCAGGGACAGAATTTCCTTTTCTATCCAGCTGCCATTTTTATGATAAATTGATGCATTTTTAAAAGATCATGAGCTCTCTTAAAGTCAGAACTCATCTGTGGATCAAGTATGAGACTAAGTTTAGAACAGGCTGCCAGCTACAACCAGTCTTCTCTTGCAGCCAGATAGCTAAGGGAAAAGCAGAAAAATCATGACATAAGTCTTCAATAGCTGCTGTTATTACAAAGGGTATTGCAGAATATTTGCATAGGTTCCTTCTGGCAGTTATAAGTATTCCACTCATCTCCTTCTAACTCCTAATTCTCCTTTTCACACTGTTCAAAGTGTCAGACAAATATAAAGGAACATACATCAGCTGCAGCAACATCCAGCAACAGAAACAAATTCCAAGGTATCTTTCAGGGATAAGCTTCTTTTTGCTGTCCCTGTAACTACTCCATGTTGTCCATCTGAAAAATTAAGCAGTGCACGTGATACTCATAGGGGATTTCTCTCCCACTGTTGGAGTCACTGATCTTGCTCTGAAATAAGCAGCACTACAACATCATTTAAAACTGCAGCAGTCTGTCTCATAACATCATTCTTACCCTGACAACAAGTAACTGGTCTCTCATCTATTCCTGCCTATACAAAGACTTTTTACACATTTGGCTGATTACTTCTTTCTGCAGGAAAAATTGTAAACAGGCAGAAGTTTTAGTGCCAAAATGAAAAAGCAAAGGGAATAATGTTTATTGAGATAAGAGTAGCTTATATTCTCATAGAGCTACGCCAACCAGGAAGAAAGTCAATGAAAACAAAGATACCCGTTTCCTCTGCCCCAATCCTACCTACATGGAAAAGGTGAGACAGCATTTGGTTTACTGTCAACTGGAGTGGGGAACAGAGGAGACCTGGCTGATTATAAACTCAGATATTGGAAGAGGCATCATGCTAATTCTTAGTAAATATATCAGAAAAAGACATGATAGGGATAGTTATGATGGCTAAGACTGATAAGAAACCACCTAATGTTTGAACTTCTCACTTTATCTCACTTTAACAAAAGCTGGCATGCTTTTTTGGTATCAGCAAAATTTAATAAAGCTGAAGGGGAAATACGACATGCACAAATATTACATATAGATATAAGTACAAATATAAGGCAACTGCCTTGGTGCTCCAGGATTTACCTATTTATTAACTTTGTTTCTACTGACCAAATATCCTAACTGGTTTGGTGCCTTTTACAACTTCATGATTGTGATCATAATCATGAGTCTGGCAGTGTTCTGAATTAGTGGTCTATGAATCCTCAAAAGCAATCCAAAAGCCTTATGTAGTGCTTTGTAATGAAAGGGCTGGATGGGAATGCACCTTATTAATCACATAGAGCATGCTGGAAAGGTCATCTGTGCAAATTCCATTATTTTCGATGGAAGTGAGCACAGCATTCAGTGCCTCCAAATAGTTATGACTACCACTAGCATGAAGCTTGCCAACCCCCAAATAGGTGCCACAAGCTGTGAGGTTGTTCACTTCTGCCAAGAGTGGAATAACATCTTGGTATTGGTTGTCACATCCATGTGTTCTCATCTGCTCTGTTGTCAAGACAGTGGGGTAGGATCCTCATGTAGTGTCATTAATATTTCAGAAAAATATAATATTCCCACAATATTAATCATAATATTTCACATTAATGTTTTGCCTATTCCATCCATTATTAAAGCATTCTAGCTGAGTTGGTGTTTACTGTGTCATTCAGTACAGCAGGTTTCCAGAAGTGTGTGATAGCGTGTGTCTCACCTAGCAACTGTAGTTCATGACAGGCATCTTCCATCCCCATTCATTCATTGAGGCTCAATTGCTCCTGACTGGGAACTGTTGCCTCCATTTTCCTAGCCTCAGAGCATCACTTTTTTAAAAAAAAAAAAAAAAAATAAAAAAATGCTGCCAATGTGTCCTGGCAGCAGCTTATACCGAGTCATGAAAAACAAATTCTGCTTTCATAAAGAGCAGTAGCTCTTGGCCACAGTCAGGGCAAGTAAATGCACATGAGCTGATCTACTGCCAGGAAATTAGTTTTGCAAATCCAGTAATCTACAACAGAACTTTCTCCATAAGCCTGGCAGAAGGAAAGCAACGGAGTGATGTGGTGAGTTGTGGCACTGTGGAGGGCAGATACCCAGCCAGCCATAGTGTACCAGTCACAAATACCAAGAGTAGCTGAGGACTGCCACAGGCAATGTACAGTGGCAGAGCAGAGCACCACACAACTGCTTCCCTAATGGTTAGTATATTCTCTATGAAAAGCCTAAGAATAAACAATAAAGCAACACTTTTAAGAGGAGATTGGCTTGGAGCATTAAGTTGGAGGCTGATCTGTCCCTATGGCCAGCACTTACTAAAAGCTACAATCCTTGCCAGTCTTGGATGTTGTTGAGAGTGGAAACCCATGTGGAGGAAAAAGGTGTAATCTCCATGAAAAACACTGGCAATTATCAGTGATCTCTGTGCATTGCCTATGTAGTCTAATCTGTTAAAGAAGCTGTTCATTGTGTGAATTACCATTGCTAGGATTAAAATCCAGGCAAAACTAGTAATTTCAGCCCCAGCTGGACTGGGGCTACAGATATCAGATTTTGTGGTTTGTTATAAGTTGTAAAATAAAAGGCCGTTTGTTGCATACATACCCATTAAAACCAGCCTTTGGTAGAGAATAAACAGGAACAGATACATCCTGCCCTGAGCTATGGTTTTATGAGCTTGACTTCCATACAGGAAAATTGAGTGAAATCACATGGCCAGTGCTATGATGACGGCCTTGGTAGTCTTTAAATCAGTTGACCTGTGGGTATGTCCTCAGTATACAAAGTCTTAGGTTGAGG